AAAAGCTTCAGCTACAACATTAATTTGAAACTTTTTGCTATTGGACCATCCTTTTGAGCAGCGTTCTCCATAAACTGCAAATTAACCCTAAAAACCACCCCTAACTGAAAACCCTATGGAAGTACAAGGTCGCAAACTTAATATGTTATTAAGCACATGAAAATGAACCGATCCCCCCCAAAAAATGTTAACTTCTAATTATGTTGAGGTAAACTTCCTTTATTGCTTGGACTATAAGCTTTTAGGACGCAATTGTGTGTGTATTAGAACAGCTACATACACGTACTGATTTTATTTAGCGTCATCATTAATAGCTGTTCTAATACACACACAATTGCGTCCTAAAAGCTTAGTTTATAAAGATAATTTATGTTATTAATTTTTGAATAACATTTCCGTTTGATGAATGGTTAATTTTTGTTTTTTTTTTTTATCTCTCATTTGAGGTGTGTAAAGTTTGTTGTTTTTGCTTTTTTAAATTTTAAATTGTTATTGTTGTGCTACGTAATTGTGTGTTTTTTTTAATTTTTTATCAACTATGTTTTCGAGAAACCTCTATACCTATGTGAATCTGTTAAACAACAATGACAAAGAAAGTCTAATTTAAATGTAAGTAATCAAGTCAATTTCACTACCCTTTGTTAACTATAAGTATTTTTTCTATGTTTTATGATGCTACTCTCCCCACTTACAATATAGCTATATATATTTTTATATACGTATAATTTATTTAAAGGTTTCATGTAATTCTGCTATTTTCTTTCTGTTTTTATGAAATATTTATTCAAGTAATGTAGTGCGAAATCGGAGGATAGCTCTGTTTTTTGTTTGTCTTTTGTATTTTTGTAGTTCATCATCTAAGTTTGTAAAGAACCCTTTTATTTTTTATCATTACAGTGTCCTGAAGATGCAAATAAATTTTGCGAAACGTCGACTTTTTTAAAAACCAGACTTCTGCGGTTTTTTTTTTCCGATCCTACCCAAACAATTGAAAATTCTACATTGAAAACCTACTCGGATCGACAAAACCACATTATTGGAATGTTAATAATGTAGTCAATAACCGATTTTTGTTGTCTAGTTTTAAATTTTCCATGTCTACCTATGTACCTATGTCTTTATGCTGAAAGTAGCCGTTAAGGAGTTTTAGGTTATTTTGTTGGCGTATTGCTATGAGTCTTTCTACATTGTTATTCGTTATATTCGCTGCGAATTTTCCGACTACCTTGTCGCTGATTTTTCTTCCTGTTTGTCCGTCTCCCAGCAATATTATTTCCCTTGAAGTTCCTACTTTTATGACTTGGTCGCTGAGTTGTAGATAAAATGAATCCTTTATATTAACGGGCTCATCGTCGTTCACTCCATATATTTCCAAGATTGTTATTTTCCTTTCGAACATACATACATTTAGTTTTATTGTTTCGTTTACTGCTTCCCATAATGTTATATGTTTCCTCCATTTTCTGTGTATGAAAATCGGGACACCTTTCTTTGCCCTGAATAAACAAGTCAAATCTCTAGAAATTGAAGCGGCATATAAGATATCCATGCGAAGATCAGAGCTGGGTCAATAGAAAAAAAAAGAATTAAGGGAAATTCTGGAAGAAATACGAATGGTTGGTGCCAGAAGTCAGAAGCGATCAATGGAACGGGATAGGGGGTATTGAATTTAAAACTTGCCTGTAGAGCTACGGCTAAGATCTCGCTTTCCTTTTGGTGACTAAGCTTTTAAAGAGGAGCGACTGTTGGCTGGTGTAAGTGAAGCTCTTAGAATCATATCCATCAAAATGCCAGGAAAGACAGCGCACAGTTTAACTATTGAAGGATAAATTAATGGGAAAAATATCACCATAATGCGACACAGATCTCTAATAAATTCCATCCAACATTGCCCTGGGCCAACGTGAAGCTACTTTCGAGGGGAGATATTCTGCGAACAGTTACTGGATAAACCACAAATTCACATGGTGAAACAGGAGTTGACCAGAGTTTAGGAAATATCTACATTTATGACACTGTGGTAGTAGCTGATATAGAAGATGAGTTTATTTTGGGTACGGACTTAATATGTCAACATGAAGAGTTTTTCAGTACAAACTAACCTAAACTTAGGAGTCCATTACCCTTGAAATGACACAAAATGTAAAAGAAAGCAAAACCGCACAAATTTATCATGAGCAGTTGGAGTATGTTCTATTTTGGACTTTGTACAACCATCAGCCAAACTAACAATAAATACCTCGTCAGGGAAACATTCGTAAACTCGTAAAGAATCGCCCCAGTTTGGATAGCAAAATTTTGCTAGAACACTATTTAAAACAACGGGGGCGATTTCCTGATGAGCATGTCAAAAAATTCAAAGTATAAAGCTGAAGAACATCCAGCAAAGAAAAGAAATAAATCATCTAGCGGCGATATTCTAAGGCAACTCGGAACATCTTGGCAACATCTTTCCTCTTCGGACTGAAGAAGGCTTAATGATTCGTTTGTAGGAACAAGGATATTTGTGAAGGTAAAAATGGCGAAGAGAATAACGAACATCATCAAGTATGAAACCAATACTGGCAGTGCTCTCCAAACCGTGAATCACCTAGAAGTCTTCTCATAACCAAACAACTAGAAGTGGAGTCACTAGTTACTAGTAGACGGTAATGCTTGCAGCAAGAGTTGATTGATGAGAGTAACAAAGAACGATGAATCTACCAGATTTAGCATCGATTACAACAGAAACCTTTACGATGTCACTAAGAAAGATCGTTACCCATTACCCAGAAGTGATGAAACCCTTACGACATTGGCAGACTCAAATGGGTTTTCTACTTTTGATTTGAAAAGCGGATACTGGCAGGTGGGCATTGAGGAAAAAGACAAAGAAAAGACAGCGTTCTCGACTGGAAGTGGTCTTTACTAATTCAAGGTAATGTCTTTCGGACTACCGTCTCCGCTACGTTTGAGATGCTGATGGAAATCGTACTACGAGGACTTACGTGTAGGTATGCCATGTCTACCTGGATTTTGTAGAAATATTAGGTAACTCGTATACGTAAGGGAAACCTCCGATTAAATGACAAGAAATGTTTAGTCTTCTAATAGCGCGTTGATTTTCTTGGCCACATAGTTTCACCCGAAGGAATTCATACTGACGAGACAAAAATTCAGGCAATTCGTGAATGGCCTCGACGCCTCGACCTCGGGACAAGCATGAACTCAGAAGACTTCTGACAAAAGTTTCTTTGGCGTTTGTACATACTACAGACGATGCTTATTGAAAAAACACATTGTGACATTGTTTTTAGGAGGCTAATGGCACCTCTCTATTCCTGTCCTATAATGAGCTATCCACGCGTACATTGAAAATTTATTTTGGACACAGTCGTAAGCGACACGGGTATCGGAGCTGTTCTGGAGAAGAAAGGGTAATTGAATGCTACAGTGTAGTGCTTATCAAGTTCGAAAGAAATTACTGCGTTACAAGAAAGGAGGGGTTAGGAATATTCAGAGCAGTAGACCGTTTCCATAAGTACCTGTATGGACAATATTTTTTCTCATAAAAATAGACCATACATCACTTCAATGGCTTCTGAGCATAAAACAATCAAAAGGAAGTATAATTTGCATCGTTCTGGAAAAATTCCAACACAGACGCCTTATGCAGGAGACCATGTCCACCTCAATACAAGCATTACAGGATTGATCAGCATGAACTGGTTCCTATTAGAAGCCTTTTATTTGAAACGGATCAAAAATAGGAAACCGGGAAAGCTTGGCATGAACCTTGAAGGCGTTGTTGTGGACTCGACATCGACTGAATCGAACCTGGGAGAGTGCAGATGGTGAAGTGGTCAAAACGCAGTTGGCCGTGCTTAGGACAACAGTTGGTCGATTGATAGGAGTTTATAATAGGACATTCGGAGCTCACTTAGTCAATAAGACCTTGGACAAAATTCGTGACAGATTTTATTGGGTGAACTATTACCAGGATGTCAAGACATGGTGTCGACAATGTGCAACATGGGCAGCAAGTCAAGGACCCAAAACACGATTCAAGGGACACATAAAGCAGTACAACGTGGGGGATACCTTTCCAAAGAATGGCAGTAGACATGGCCGGTCCATTTCTTGCAACGCGCAGTGGCAACAAATACATCCTGGTTGCCATGGACTATTTCAGCAATTGGCCTGAAGTTTTCGCTACCTATTCCAAGCAAAGAAGTCAGTGTCAAAAATCCTCAACAATGTTTTCACCCTTTTTGGAATTCCATCGGAACTTTATTCGGACCATGGGCGCAACTTCGAGTCCAAACACTTTGCGATCTGCTAGGAATTCACAAGACCAGAACCACAGCATTACATCCACAATCAGATGGCATGGTAGGTAGTTGACAAGCATCAAGACGATTGGGACGAGCATGTACTTCTATTTCTGATGTTATACAGGTCAGCTATACATAACACGAGCTACAGCAGCCAAACTTTCAGGTTTATTCACGTCTCAGGCGCGTCTATTCTGGGAATTTAATTATATCTGAGAAAACTAAACTTCTAGATTGATCCGGACTACGGTGTCGATTATAAATAGCGCGTGGTAGTCACTCTGAGTTTAGTTTCAATACGAGATTTTACATTTCGATTAGTGATAGGTAACTTTTTGTAAAGTCAATTCTGTTCAATAAAGTTGTTATTTTTTGTGAAGTGAATTTCAGTGTACCCGGAATCCGACAAAATATTGAGGAGAAGTAGAGTATAAATACAATAATGTACATATTTCAAAATTTTATTAAAACATAAAATTATCTAAAATTATTCGCAACAACAAAAAATATTTTTCCTAACTTCCTACATTTATAATACTCTATTACTATTTTATACTACTAAACTGGAATACCTACATACTAACAGCTTTAACAATAAAAAATACCTGTCTCCCCCACTATTCAAACTTCTTTGGCAAAAAAAACAATTAAAAAAAAACTACAAGTTTTTTCCTCTACCAAAAATTCCTAATTTGCTTTCTTTTTGTATCGCATCTTTCTGCAATCCTTCAAGGAGCAACAAAACTCAGATGCATTGACTTTTCCTTTTTTTCTTTTTATTTCATACATTTGCTTGCATGTGGACTTGTCGCAATGTTGTCTGCTGCACTGGGCATTACCATCCTAAAAACCAAAAAAATTATTAAAAATAAATTACAATGTAAAATAATAGTTATTTACCTGACATTTACAAGTAACACATTTGTACTCTCCCAAGGAATCTATAAATGGATGATATTTGCTTCCATTAATATAGGGTTTATTAGCGTTTATGGGATTCTTGCAGCCTCCTTCTGATAGAACTTTGACAGCAGGGTTTTCCTTTTGTGTGATTTGAGGATTTCTAACTTTTTCCATGAAGTCATCAGAAAATGGATCGTTAATGTCCACATTCTTTCTGTTGCCGCACTTTTCGGTATTAGTCAACCGAATGCATTTGATTTGGTATTGTTGGTGGTCGCAGTAGCATTCAGTGCACAAATCGAATCCAATTGGCAAGAGAAATGGATGGAATTTGGAACCTGAGAGATATGATCTAGAAAAAAAAGACCTTGTGTTAGTCAATAGCTATGTATAAAGTCAACCAATTGACTTACTTTCCATTCAAAACACACTTTGGTCCTTTCGCGCTAGAAACAATCATAGAATCGTTGGTACAAACAGGACAGCATTCTCCTTCCACAATAGTTTTTCTACCAAATGTGCAACTGAGTTCGGGACATGTCGTCAAGTCACACCTGGCTTTTCCATTTTGGCAGAAACACATTTGGCAAGAGTTGTTTGCTGGAACCCAGATTTCTTCGTTCTTGTGAAACTTGCCTTCAAAGAAACATTTGTCTGACTGTACAACTTCCGGAAGGTCGTCCAGGAAAACCGTCTTGTCTAATGAATTATACGGCGTGCAGGAGGCAGGGATAGGAACCTGGCAATAAACGATACTTTAAATATTTTGTTATTTATAGAAATAAAAATAACTGCTTACCTTAACTACAGTTGCCATAAGCAAAACCACTTCGCTACCAGCATCCTTTACTTTTAAATAATTAACTCCATTCTCCAGCATACTCAATTCATCTCTGGTAAGCACCTCAACGGGAGAGCCTTCTATGGATGTACCTTGGAAGGACTCCAGTGGTTTATTGATAAATGGCGCTCCAGGTGCAATGATAGGGTACAACTCCATCCAGAGCTCCAATTTGCGGTCACTTTTAAGGCCCTCAAGCGAAACATCGTAATGTAAGTAGCAGTCGCTGTCTACAGATACCCAAGCCATTCCAAGACTATTCATTGCTAGGGAGCTCTGCTCTTTCAACAAAACTGGTGCTGCAGAGTCTCTAGCTTCATCCATATACTTTACATTTAGTCTTCCTTCTATATTTTTTTGACTAGATGTAGCTACATTAATAGACAAATCACCCGCATATAATGATTGAAGAACTTCTGGAGTTACTTTATCCATTGTACCATTAGCCCAGCCATTTTCTTGAACCTTGAGAGTCAAACTTGTATCTTCAGTCATGGTTTTGGAGTTAGCATGTACAAGACTAGCGTTAGGTTGAGAGCTATTGCCGATATAAACGTTGTAAATCAGAGAGCCAGCATTGTTCAAATAAAGCCAGGACATGCCTGGCTCAGATGAAGCTAGTGTAGCCTGAAACATTTCGCATGTAGCTCTTGTCATTATGTTTCCACTTAATTTTAGTTGCTGTGGATTGGAAACAGATGCAATATTCAATATCATCTCTCCTTTAGTCAAACGTGTAAAGTTGTCTTCAGACATTTTTACATTGAATTCGATGGTATTCAGATCACTGGCTGGTTTTAAAATGTTTATAGTTTCTTCAAAAACAAGATGCTTTTTCAGGGATAGAGTTATTTTAATTGGAACATTGGCTATTTCCGAAGGCATGAATAGGCCATTGAAAATTACTGAAATTTTAACGGTCGAGTTTGTAATGAGTGATACCATTGCGGTACCTGCTGCTCCTATACTGTTTGAGGTAGGTTCCGGTTTCAGTAAAGAACTTAGCAATTCTGATTCCAATGCATTATTTTTCTTGACAGAGCCACTTATAGTAAGCTCCTGACCTTTAGTTTTCCACACTAACACTGCATATATTTTTTCCTGCCTCAGCATTTTTTGGTAGCCTTTAGGCAATCTTCTCCATACTCCGCAGATTTTCTGAGGCGCGTCTTGATAAGAGGGGTTGTTGGTAGAATTGAAAATAGAGAATTCTTCCAGAATATTTCCTTGGGTATCGATAAATTGTAATTTTTGAGGTCTTCCAGCTTTTTCTGAAGTATAGAAGGAATAGTAGAGGCTATTTTCTTTGAAGGAGAATCTACCAGTGGCTACCAAACTAGTTTCATTCAAGGAATTTGCTTTAAGCGAGGTCAGTAAGGACACAAAATCTGCAAAAAAAAAAAATGTTTAGGTTTTTTTCAATAAAAGAGAATAAAAATAGACTTACGTTTGTTCGTATTTTGTTCTATTTCTACAATATTCTGTGGAAGAATATCTTGAGCTGTTTCTGGGCCTAAAAATAAAAAATGATAAATAATGTAATAATTTTCACACTTGGAAAAGTCGTCTCATGCAGCAATACTCACTTAAATCTCCAGGGCAAATTTTACAACATCTTCCTGGAAGCATGATTGGCTCTTCGCATTTTGGTTTTGGACATTGTTCTTTTATACTGTGACAATGGACTCTGGCAACTATTCTTCTTTTCTTTTGGAACTGAGAGAAATAAATTAATTTATTATTATATTTTCAAAAATCAGGTAAAAAACAGAAAAAAATATTGTGGCAGCAGAAAACAGGCCAGAAGTTCTTAATATGTGCAATACCTTATAATTATCATTTCTGCTAAAACAACAAATTAACAAATTAAATGTTACTCACCGGTACACATTTGCATCTCATGCATGACAGAATACCTATTGGTGGTCCCAGATCAGGAGTCCAAAGAGAGCCCAATTCATACCGTTGCTTGTCAAAAACACATTCTGAAAAAAAAGTTTATTAATGCTCAAAAATGTCTTTGTAAAATTTAATGGGGATTTAAATAACTGTTACTAGTAGTACCTACAGGGCCTATCCATCGTTTTATATGGGTAACATTCAACCAATTAGGGGCAGCTGAAATTTGGTAAAAGAATTTGTTTTAAGCTACTGAATATCCTCTGAAACCTCAGCGCCGAAGCGTTGAGCCCGTCACCTCAAAACCACCCCTCAAGTGAGGTGAAAACTACCTATTTTTACATTTTTCTTGATAACTCCAAAACCAAGCATTTTAGGAAAAAAAGTCAAGAGGAAAAAATTGTAGAGAAGAAAATTTCCTGCCAAATAGATACACATCGGTTTTTTCAGATGTTCAGTGGCGTAGATATTAGGTATTTCATTAAAGGGATTTTACTAAAAAAAAAAAAAAAACCACTTATTTATTTTTAACCTTAAAATGGGCATGTAGGTAGGTACCTATAAAGGCTGAATCATTCCGTTTAAGAAGTGTCATACCTTTGGTTATACCATACATCTCAAAGGTGACAGCTGTGGGTGACAGTAAAAAGGAACAGAGGATTTTTATCCTCTGTTCCGCGCAAAAGTTAACAATAGCTTTGAGGTCGGTTTCTCAATAGCGAGTCACCTCCGGGTTGTAGTTACAATGCAGTTATGCTTAACCCGGGCCTGGGGGTGACTTGCTATTGAAAAACCGGTCCTAACTTTATTGCAATATCGCAAAAAAGTTGACATTTTCGGTTTGCACTAATCAAGATCTCATGAAATTTGAGCTTCATAGTGGGGGGTCCATTTTTTTTGTATCTCGCTCAGAAATTGACGTTTCATATTAAAACCGTCCAAATTCGGACACCCTGTTTATGCAAGCGAATGGGTCTTAGCTGCTCTATATGGCATGTGGCCAATGCAATGGCATTACCTGTATGACCCCAGAAAAAGTGGACGTAGAAAAAGTATCTTTTTAAGATAGGTACATTATCTTTTTTTTTCCCATTTACATAAAAAATGTTCTGGCTTATTTTGTGCTATAATTATGTCTCTAACCCAACAGTTTACTCCCAAAACTACTATAACAATTTGTGGTATCCCTATACATTATAATAAAAAGTGCCTTTTAATAGAAAACTCTATATAAATTTTTGCGTGACCCTAAAATGCTTGGTTTTAAAGTGTTATAAAAGAATAAGTGGGTTTTTTAGAAAAATCCTCTTAATTTAATACTTTTTTTCTACGCCACTGAAAAAAATATGCCGTATACCTATTTGGTAGGAAATTTTCTTCTCTACAATTTTTCTCCGTGTTATTTTTTTCAAAAATGCTTAGCTTTGGAGTAATTGAGAAAAATTTAGAAAAAGATAGGTAGATTTCACCCAAGGGGTGGTTGTGGGGTGACGGGCTCAAAGCCTCAGCGCTGGGGATTCAGAGGGCATTCAGTAGGTACCGTAAAGCACAGTCTCTTACCAAATTTCAGCTTGTCTCTAATTTTTTGAACATCATCCTGTATGGTCCCTGTACCATACACAGAAACACAAGTTTTGAAATAAAATGGAGGAAATCTCAAGAAATTTGATGTTGGATAGGTATGTTTTGCATTGACAACACAAATCTACAGCGCAGAACCTCTCACTTTAAAAACTTCTCACTTCTATTATAGTCCAGTCACGTTGTGGTCTCCCCTACCAATTTTGAGCTAAGAAGCTGAACATTGGTATACATCTTCATTTTGACGTTCTAATAGTTGTTCCAATAGTCACAATAAATATGGCCAAGGCTTCTTTAGTTATTGTAGGTCAAAGGTCAGAGAAATCGGTTTGTGGCGATTATCTCGGTTCCTATTACTCAACGATATAGACACCTATTGCAAAAGTTACGAGATAATACAATTCCTAAGCACTTTTGTTTGAAACTTTTTTATAAACTGAACCGTTCTTGAGATAGAGTGCGAAGAGTGGTAAGCCCTATGCTCCAGATTTTGACCAATAAACTAAAGGGACCTAACGGTGAATTTTTGCACATACACTGCTCTTATGGGTCTAAATAATTGGTGAAAGTTTCAAAGTGTGATTATTTGGGCCGTTGGGTTAAAGAGTCAAAGGTCAGGAATGCGTTTATCAATATCTCGACAACGGTCAAGTTTTTCAAAAATTTCTTCTTGAAAAAGTTATAGATTATTAAATTTGCTCCAAATTTGGTTTTAGGTATATTGCTCTACAATCACCCTTCCTTGAGATACAGCGCAAAATTTAAACAAAAATGAGGGGCCATTTTCGAAATGGGGGGAAACAAGCTGCAGACTCAAGAACGTTGTATCTCAAGAACGGCTAATCGTAGAGCAATGTATCTATTTCTGTGACCTTTAGCGTTGGCTTCATTTATTGTGACTTTTGAAACAACTATTGGAACGTCAAAATGAAGGTGTATACCAATTTTCAGCTTCTTACCTCAAAATTGGTAGGTGGGCCCCTATTTTATGCTTAATTAACTACACTAAATATGTACAAATATATAATAATAAAAATATATACCTAATGCCGATGATCACTAAGCAATAATTTTGATAGGATAAAAAAACATACCGGCAAAAGAATAGATATCAACGAATGATTAAAACTAAGATCAACTAGAAAAATAAGAGAAATAAGAACACAGAGGACGAGAAGAAAATTATAGAACAAAAAAAGAGCCTGAAGTTATGTAAGATCAAAAATTCAGATTTCTAACATGATAATGAGAAATTTTAGAGACTATCGAAACGTTCTAGATAGAGAGTTGAGTGAATAAAAAATAAAAAGACCGACACTGAAAGTCTTGGACCAAAGATCTGAAGACATAGGTACCTACGTGAAATAATGGAACAAAGAATTAGAATGGCATTAAGAAACCTGAAAGGAACAACTATCCGATTGATACATGCTAGGAGGAATAAACATTGGAGAATATTGGGGAAAAATGTATAGAATAAAACAAACCACATGGTACTACTACTTGAGACTTTGGAAAGGCTGGCTCGCGTTTCCGTACATTATAGCAAAAATTTTCAAGGACATTCACCAAAGACATATTTCTACTGGCAGACCACTATAACATACAAATTAAATATTGAGCAAAACATAAGATTAAAAAATTAATCCAGGATGAAATTCCTAACGTCGGAATAAGACAAAAACCAAACGCCTCGGAAGCCATTCACCATCCCACTGGCAAAGCCATTCACCATCCCACTGACATTTTGCAAGAATGAGGGATAACAGGTGGACGGAAAGGTTCCTGGGTCCTTATTCTTGAATCAGCAGCGTTCCCAGGAGAAAGAGTGTTCCGTCTTTGTTACTTTATATTATCATTTGCATGTGATTGAGAAAGACGGAACACTCTCCTGAAAACGTTGGTCCTCTGTTTCAAGAATAGGGATTCTGGAGTCAAATGGCGTCCTAGATCAGACTCAATTACAGAGAAAGGAAAACTCCAAGACGGCCGACATAAAGAGAATCGCTGGATAATAGTTGCTTATGGAATAGAAGATAATGGCAAAGTTTCAGAAAGGCATTACATGAGCTGTCAATGATGATGATGATGATGAATAATACTGGACTGATTTTCACATCTAATATGGAAAATTGCTCTTATTGTACATTGATTTTGTTTCAATTAATGATCCGAGAGAACATCAAGGAAAGCAATAAAAAAGTCGTTACTAGATTCATAAACCTTTGGAATAACCCACATTGAATAGTGGGTAAGTTAACTTTGGGATATCTTGGGAAATATTATTAATGTTTCCAATTTGAAAGCGGCATTTCAAGCAAGAAGTTGCGCAACATTCTCCCGATTTAACGGAACCCTTAGCATTGGGAAATATCAGAAATTTACGGAAGGCACACGAACTTGCTATTGATATAATATACAAATTATTGAGGAGAGATAGGTATAGATTCACGACTAAAAATAAAACTTACTATCTTTAAAAAACTATGCCAACGCTTCGAACAGTTATTTGTTCTCCTGCAAAAACTTTTTTACCAGCAAACGGGCGATTCACGAGCCTCCGAAAAAGATCAAATTTAGTCGAACCATCGGCATGATTTTTTTAAAGAAAGGAAGTTTCATCTCGTCTCCTAAACCCATTATTCATTATCACTTTTTATAGGTACTACCATAGAGAAATATAATAAACCAAGGTGAGAGTTACCGATTCTGTGGTGCGACACTGGCATCGCGATGACATCATATCAATACTAGCGCCACTATCCACTACAAGACGAACTTAAATAATATTTGGCGGGCTTTTTGAACTTTTAAATTATAGTATTGTTAGTTTTGAAGGTAGAAATCTAGCCCAACGTTTTTCCGCAGTCGACAGACAAAAAATGCGGAAAAACGCTGGCCTGGAAACTAAAATAAATAATCAAAAAATGTCCATGAAGTAATCTATATATTTTGATCTTTGAAAATCAACAAAGAATAATAAAAATTAAATTATACATAAATATAACTTTGTAAATAATAAATTGCAGGAAAATTACAAAAAAAAAAGCAAAAACATCCAAAACATCTAACTTTTTACTAATGATCGGTTAGTATTTAATAATAATCATTATTTATGCATGAACTTAACGACTTTCACTTCAGGTCCACTTATTTTTGTCAGTTTTGAAAAAATAAAATGTCATTTTATAGGTTAGAAATTGCAATGTAATAAATAAAAAACTCTATGTCCTCTCTTCCTTTATTATCATATCAGAGAGACAGATATAAGAATGGGAGGCGATGTCAGAATTGTCAGATAGTTCCAAGCTATACTAGCGCCACCATGTGCTACAAGAAATACGTTGCCACTTGGCGCATATGAATCGGTATCTCGTACACTGGTTTATTATATTTCTCTATGGGTACTACTAAGGAAGATCTGTAAAGACATAACTTCCAGAAGTAATAAGAAAAATAATAAATTCCAGAGAACTAGAGACTCAATTTGTCATGTAAAAGGAGAAAAAAGAACAGAACCGGTTGGAAAAAAAAAGTGAAATACTTTCAAAACGGTTTCAAGGATTCGCTAAATGAATTGACAAAGACAGAAAAAAAATTAAAATCAGAAACATATCAAAATCAATTTGTTACAGGATGTGTCAGTAATGAATATGATAATATGGCTGATATTGAATATGAAATAACTACTCAGAATGGCATTTTCTATCGAAATAAATGACAATATTCTGAACGTCTAGAAGTTCTTTTTTAGTGAAAACTTGTCAACCTCGAAATTATTGTCAAAGCTTTAATAAAGTGCGTTTTTTTTTTTAAGATAAAAGTCAAAATGACATTATGTTGGCAAAACAATGTAAAATTGTCAATGCTTTCAAATTTTTTATGTAGAAAAGGGTTGTGTTGCCAACATAGTTACTAAATTTTTGACTTGGGGAATTATCTTTAAAAAAAAAACAGACTTTCCTAGATACTTAATAGAGGACCAGGTGTTCAAATCACAAAATAATATTTAACAAAAAAACTAAAGTTCCTAAAAAATATCACTTACCAGCTGCTTTTGGACTGACGGGAACATCTTCATCAAAAAGCTTATTTGATTTCTTAGCCGCAGCTACCCCAAAAACATTTGTAAAAATTACTAAAGCTGTAAATTTTAAGATAAATTCCATTATAACTATTATTTGTAGTTAAACACTAGTTCCACACTGTTTGAATGAAATATCTCAACTGACTTCAAACCTGTTAACTTCCTAATTTATTAGGAAACTCTCAAGCCCCCACTGCTTGACTTTTTGACTTCCTAAACGATTGTGGTACCTTTTATTATGTACCCCTTCCAGGTACCTACGATGACCAATCGGATTTTGAGTTTGCATTGAATATTCCTGTCAATCAAAAAATCTAAAGGGAAAAGTGTACTTTTTTAAGCGGCAAAATTTCTCTATACCATATAAGTACTAACTTTTTATTAATATTCTGCGGCCGTTTTAAGAATAATAAGGTATAATTTAAAAATTTCTCACTAAAATTTGTCGTAAACTGTGAAACTGCCCAAGAGTTTTTTGAAATCAACAGAGCTTCAATAGTAATTTAGTCCATTCACTCGACTGCCATTGATAGGCAATCCCGTGTGGGTGAGTATCACTTTCTGCCCTTATCAGGAAAGAAACTATTGCAGAAATTACCCATAGCATCAAAAAAATACATCATTGTCGCTTATGTGAACAGCATGAAAAAACTTGAATTGAAGTAGAAGAAACGGACTTGGTGAAGAACATCCTGTAGACGAATTATTGCAAACGATAGACAAATTTTTAACAAAAATGGTTGACGCATATCTGATCGAAAAATTTCATTCACCTACATCAGAAATCTTGATAATCAAGGTAAATTGACTTAAAATTCTTTATATTGAAAGCCTCTCAGATACAGACATTCCAAAATATTACTGAAGGCTATTTAGGAAAACCATGAGTTTATACGAAACACTAGACAGACACCAATATGTATAGGTAGGACCATAATATAGATAATTTTGTAAGAAGTGAAAAAATATGCTCTTTTTTTTACCAGAAACGTCGTTCGAGGATACGTGTTGGAACAATTTTTTTTCCCCAACTTAAAAAACATGGAATCGCGAATAGAGTGCTCCTCCAGTAATATGATGTAGCAGCGCTATTTTCATTAATAGCTCTGGAAATCTTGATTTGGAAATTTCTTGGACATTGGATTGGTAGGACAGATCTTAAAGAGTAGCCACCTTGTTCTCCAGACTCTACTGCTCTTGCCTTTTTTTATGGACTTATGTCGAAGAGAGAAGCTACAATCCTATCCATACAACTGAACCTTAGAGTGTGTGCGTTTAAAAATGGCTTTGCTATGGCTGACCACGACTATAGAGCAATGGAACAACAATTGTCATTGAGTCCTCTGGGCCTTCGTAGAGATAGTTTTGGTGTAGCATTTATATACAAATTAGTACATGGGTTAATTGACTGTCCAAGTCTCCTTTCTTCAGTTAGTTTTAATGTACCCACTAGGGGACTGCGGCAACACCCAACATTTCTCATACCTTTTCACCGCACAACATTTGGTGAAAATAATCCTATTGACAGATATATGTCATTAATTAATAACTTAAATATTGATATATTTGATATGACCCTAGGTCAATTAAAAACGTACCTGAAGAATATGTGATATTTTTTGTATAACAGGGTCAATTCTGGTTTGTGTATTATTTGTTGTACCTAATTCTATTTTATGTTTCCATATGTTAACTACTCATTAAGTATCAAGATCAAGATATTTTTCATAATACCTACATACTTTTACTAATACTAATACCTACTTACTTAAAAGATGATTTTTGGCTGTACTTGATTTGTTTTATATTATTGTGTAGTATTAATTTTTATAGTTAAATAATATTTATTATTTATGTAGTTATAGTTATAATATAGTACCTAACTTATGCTTTATTCTTTATATTTTTTCTTAAATTGTATTTTAACAGTTAATGGGGTTTTCCCGTAAATAAATAAATAAATAAATAAATACATTATAAATTTGATTGAATAGGTATATTCCACAACAAATATTTTGGTATTTTTTTAGTAAATGTCGAATTTTATATGCGACCTGAAATTAATTAGAAATAATGCGAGGCTCTTTCATGTTGGCAAAATCAATACCTATATCTACATCTTTCATTCGAAATAACCGAGTAAGTTTACTTCGAATAGTTAGTTACATGTTAGAAAAAAGCAATTCCGAGAAATTTAGAAATTTGGCAATACAACTGTCAAAAAATCTTTGAAAAATCTTGAGTTGCCCAGCGCGATCCACATCTCGCTATCCTTTTTTGTTTCCAGATATTTACATGCAAAATGTGATACCTACCTTTGAATGGGAACCCCGTTTCAGAAATACTCTAAAAATCATTTTTAGAGCACGAATAAATTTTTAGAAATACCCAAATTTTTTTGAGCTCTACTTTTAGAATGTGCCTCAATTGACTCCATAAAGAAAGATAAAAACAGAGCTGAGGGATGCGCATACTTTGGGACAAAACTTATAAGGAAAATAAAAAATTCCTAACTACGAATATTGTAGGAACTTGTAATCACATTCTATAGGAGAGTATTCAAAAAGTAGATATTATACATATATTTTCCAAAAAATAAGCTCTCAAACCACTGCCCCTAAAACTAAAGTCCAAAGTCTATTTCGTCTTTCGGTCTAAGAGTCAGTTGGAGTCAAGATGTCTATAAAGTTTGACCAATAAAAAAATAAAATTTACAATTCCCTTTGCTGCCACCTTAAATCATTCTTCACAGTGAGCGGCCCTTTTACGGCTCTTAAAATATTATGCTAATAACACTACCTACCTAAACTGTATTTACACTTTTCAAAGCCCTTAAATCTGGGGAAATCCCGGTGATTTGTGTTTTTCTTGTTAACAAAGTTATTTATCAATATTTGTTGGGATTATATAGGCTTTAGCACCTATTGTTATGCTAACAAATAAATAATTCGTTTATTCGCACTTTGCCGAAGCGTGTAAAATACAAAGGAAACTGTTTGGATCCTGCCGATTGGTAGAAGAAGAACAGGTGTACAAACTGTACAAGAACAATAATTGGATTCGAAGTTCCGTATCTTCTAAAGTATTTAAATATGAAAATCGGATTAAAATGTTTACATACAATAAACAAACAAATAAGAATCCGAAATTATAGATAATTCAATCAGCAAGGAAAACTATAGAAACTCTAGGCACAGCCATTTATGTACAACTCTCTTTTTCATTCAAATTGTTAATCCAAACTAAATCAAATCGACGCGAAGACAGAAAGAATTTTGAAAACAATCGCAGTTTGATTTTTGGACTCGTATCTTAGGTTGGATACTTTTTGGAAGCTGCTGTATTTCCTCTTTCCAAATTTATTCAACTTGAGATGAGATCATTCGAATGAGATTTTCCCATTTGTTCTTTCAATTAAAAAAATGAAATTGAATGGCATGGTAATTCTTTTTATTATTGAGCTTTCAAATTTTTTAGGCCCGGTTGTACCAAATAGTGGAAAAAACTACAACTCTGCGTGTCCAATACAAGCAGCAACACAAAAATCAGCAAAGTGCAGACATTGTACCAGACTATGCCGTTCAAGAGTCCTGGGGGCATGAACGTGAGCTTTTCCAGATGGTAATGAATCTCCTGGAGGAGAAGAACCTGGTTCTCGAAGAAAACAATCGCCTTTAGCCGTTGAAAACCAAAATTTGAAAAAAACCATAGAAGACACTAAAAGTGAGGTTAGACAGATGCCGCCAAAAAATCTGGTAAGCGAGGTCATAAATGTCGGAAACAAGCCGCTTTCGGAAAGTGTGTTCCGATTAATCGGTTCGATCGGATTAGTAATCTCATCGTTCGTAAAATGATCCGAAGTCGAGTACTCGCGTTCGAAAAGTGATCTTGTTGACTAGGTTTTCTCATATGTTTGCGATCTCGTTAACTCTGCTCTTGACGTGGGTAAGAAGGTGAGAAATTAATATATCAGCTGTTTGATTTTTTTGGTGATATGTTATGTTTATTTTATGCTTTGTTGCCGTTTTGTCAAGCTTGTGTTTGAATTCTTTTGATTTTATTTATTGTGTTTGGTTGAGGTGGTTTGCCGTGTCTTTGAAAAGTCAAAGGAAATAGGTAAAGACCCAACCTCAAATCGTTGAAGGAAAACAAACGCCGGATCCCAATCGTTCGCAAAAATTGAATAATCAGCTGATATTAACCTACTCGATCCAGGATTTAAATTTCCGAAAGCAGCTACAGAAAACAAACCAGTAGGGTCCCCGAACAAGCCCTTGACTAACGATGCCAAATCAACTGTTCAAAAACCGCTGACCCCCGGCAAAACTGAAAGATTAGCCGATAAAACGTCAAAATTAGCTGATACCACCCAACAGTTGCCGCTGCCTCGAGACATCCTTAATCAGACTTCAGAAAAATCTGCAAATTCGGAAAATCGTGAAAGTAATCCAATGGGATGGAATCTAGTCAGTTAGAAGAATCGTCGTGGGGCTCAGGGCTGCCAGGAAGCTCTCATGGCTTTTTATATCGGGGCTTGACACAGAAACCACACCTGAGGATATTCTTAGCTACCTTAAATTAAATGGGAAAGCAAACTGTACCTGTGAAAAACTGAAAACTAAATATGAAAAAATCTATAGCTCTTTTAAACTTGGTGTACCACAGGAAGAAGAAGAAAACATAAAAGATCAACCCAAAGGTTTTGTAATAAATGATTTCTTAAACCTGCAGAGACCAGCATCCTCCAAGCCGAGGAGACAATGATCAGCTTCCGTGATGTAATAGGCCTATCACACTGTTATGTCAGATCCTCACGGAACAAAATGTATGAACTGGGAGCCTTTCTGGCTGACAAGGAGTTCGAAATTGTGGCTATGACAGAACATTAGCTGAAAAAGGAAGAACTGAAGTATTTTTATATATATAAGTAAGTTGTTGGCAGCTACTCAGCTCGCGAACAGTATATAGGTGGGGGTACTCTGGTACTTATTGGCAAAAATAGGAACTTCGAGGCAAAAAATATGTTGAGTATGAATGTTGAAAAACGTATGGAGTTGTGCTGTGCACAAATAAATCCACATA